GAAGTTAAAAACATTGTGATATCCTGTATTTGAACATAGAGGAATCATAGTGTAATGTTTACAAGTGTGGATACTGGTATCAGTTTTTTGATGTCATCACTTCCAAGCTAGACTAAGTCTTTGAAAAGCATAAATACCTAGTGGCTTTGTAGAAGAGAATAAATTCACAAAGTTGAGCACTAAGAAAACTCCAGAAAGGTACTAGGATAAAAAAGCAATACAGTGTTAGAGCTGCCGAGAGAAAATAGTTTTAAGAAAATAGAGGTGGTCAATAACATCGTCCTATTCTTGAAAGTTTGAATAAGATGGGGATTAAAATAGTCCTTCAATTTAATAACAGGAGACAATTGATTTTGGTGGAAAGAGGGATAGAACCAAGTGTGTTAAGGAATAGGAAGAGAGGAATGGAGACAGCAAATTTTGGTAACTCTTTTGAGAAGTTTGTTTTTGAAATGTGGAGAGAAGTTTCACTTGTATGTTTCCTGTTAAGTGTTACACTTCCCCCTGTGTAACAGAGATGTAAAAAAGAATTACTTGATCACTCAAAGCAGTATGAATGCATTGAGAAGCCTGAAAAGACTGCTCTTCAGTAATTTCCCCATTAGTAGGAGAAAGCTGAATGTGACAGCCCTGATTCAAAATTAGCTTCTCCCTTTTATTGTAAAGACAAGGACGTTTCACAAGAAAATTCAGTTGATTTAATCATTACAAAGAACACAAGGACATGGGCAGAGTTATGGCTAAGTATAGTTTTAACAATGGAAACTATTAACATCAGCAAAATAAACAAAGTGACATTCCATATTGCAATTAGTAAAAGGTTAAGTTGATCTAACAACAAAAGCATGTTCTTAGCAAATATTTTTTTTTCCTACAGCAATTTCCTCAGTATATTTACATAACAGTCAAGTAACTTTCTCAACATATCAATCAGTAGGTTAACCTGCACCAAGGACATCTGTCCTTTGAGCCAACAATTTTGTTTTGTTACAATTCTTTATCTACAACAGAGACTTTAGCCTGGGGAAAGTTTCCTGTCTTTTGTAAACTTAACATTTCTATGTATAATTTTAAAAAGTTAGGCCATACCTGAAATTACAGGGTCTTGGAAGTTAGGCCCTGTGAAATACATTTGCTTTACAAATTTTACTTCACAGTTAAGTCTATACTGAACATATGTAGCATATTGTTGTGATTTTATGTGAACAAGAAAGATAAATGTTTTGTAATATTATCTTTCTGTGACCTGACATCTGTAGTCAACTAGAAGAGTCTGTTAAGAGAAATAATAAGAATTTACTCTAAGTCTCTCTAGTTGAAACTATATAACTGATTTTTTGCATTTACTTTTATTTTTCAGGTACAGAGATTACAGATTTCCTCCTGATCATGAGAACAAATATTTTCATAATATGCAGTTCTGGCATGTCCTTGCTGCCAAGATGACTTTCATCATAGTTATGGAAGTAAGCTGTTTCTTAGCTTTCATTCCAGTTACTCTCTCTTCTCCTTTTATGCAGATATTTCTTAATATACTGCTCATCAGAAAGTTAGCATTATCTCAATAAATTGTTTTGAAGGAAGTATTTGTTGTCATAAAAAAAAACAACTTACAGATGTTTTCAGTACAATGAGTTGCCTTTATTCACTTAGTATTGTTCAAGATTCCATGGTGACAGAAAAGGAAAGGAAAAATGTGGCCTTTTCTCTTGAGATCAGGAAAAGGGATGAGAACCTTCTAATTTTATAGGATAACTATTATGTACTAGTTTTAATTTATAACTTTATTATTTAAAAAAAGAATCTGACTCCACGAAAATTAGTAGTTGGCTCAAGGTTAATTAGCTAATATTAGAGCTGGTTTTTATTATCTGTAGTTCTGCTTTCACAGACTAGTTACTTTCCCCAGAAAAAAAATCTTTTCAACTTCCTGTCTATTGAGATATTTCATGGCTGCCTGTGTTCTGAGAGCTGAGCGAGGCAGATCTCACAATTCAATATGCAGAATTTCACTTTCTATACATTTTTGTTTTCAGTATGGTTCCATACTTCCATCCTCAGCTATGTCTGGTACCCCTCAGTTCACAGATTTCTGGTATAATTTAAACAATAATTTTGCTGCCAGGGTGGGATATGGAAAGAGGTCATACCTAGATACAGGTGAGAAAGAGGCTCTGAAAATTCAATTGCTCCTTATACAATATTATTAACTAACTCTCTTGTTTTCAGTATCACCCCATACTAATGCCTTCAAAGGTCCTTATTAATATCTTCTTTTCTTAACTTTTCTGAGGATCTAAAACAAAATTGTTTTTTGTCTTTTTGGTTTCCACCATCCATCACCATGTCACCAATTGCAGGTTTAAGTGCCAGCTTTCCTCACTCTCTTGAGTTTAATACTCTTACAAATATTCTATTAGATTTTCTGAAGGGAGGAAAGAGAAAGCGTATATTCATTCAATAACTATTTTAAACTAGAATTTCTCTAATTACATATTTAATTATATATGTATTTGTTTAATGTTGGTATTTGTATGAAAGTTGTAGGACAAGGACCATATCTTCTTGCTTGCCCTTCTTATTGAGCACCATTATTGAATGAGTGAAATGATTTGTTAGGACTTCCTGTTGAACATTCAACAATTCTAACGGTGCCTATGATTTTTCTGTTTATTTCCTCTAGCACATTGTATTTTTAGTTAAATTTTTGTTGGCCTGGATGATACCTGATGTTCCAAGAGATGTTCTGGAGAGAATCAAGCTAGAAAAGTTAATGACTATCAAGATTCTCCATGAATTCGAACTCAACAAATTAAAAGAGAACTTGGGTATTAATGTTGATGAACGTGTGAAGAAGCATGTCATGATTGAAGAAAACAAAGTATAACTGGCTAAATCAACAATCTAATCAGCATAATGAGCAAGCAGCTGGTTGCCTGCCTCACTTAACTTTTTTCTCTGGGTTTAGGGTGAGAGGCCATAAGCCATGTGTCATTTTTACCTTTCCTTTCTTTTATTAACTCAAAAGTTTTATACCCTTCTATAGAAGCCAACTTTGTGTTGTTGGAAGAGTACCACTTGTCTGCTTCATTGTCTGGGCCTTCCCCAGATATTGCTTGCTAAGATCCTGTAAATGAGTAGTGAAAGTGTGTGTGGAATCAGAATATTGGGAAATCATGGAGTGTTGCAGTTTAGAATGAAACGCTGAAGTTGGGCTGTCCCATCACTTCCCAGTGCACCTGCACATGTTTATCGTCTTCTCTTGTGTGGTTTTGTATCTCCTTCCCATTAAGAAAAATGTTGGGATAAAAAAGAAGTAGAGAGGCCTACTGAGCCACATGTATTCTGCCATTTAAAAATATGTAAATGAAAACCAGAATCAGATAACATAGGAAAACTCACATGTTAAAGAATATTGGGTAAATATCAAAGCAGGGGTTTGTTCCTGAAATTGTCCTGAATATGTTAAAGTTCCATCAGAATCCCAGATAGTCCTTCCAGGTAAAAACAGAATTCATTTTTTTTCAGGAGACTGAACTTCTGGGTTTCAACAAACAACTAACATCTCTGTTCTTAAGATAATATTTTGGTAACAGTAATTTCAAGACTTGATTGTCTTATATGGAAGACAGCATTATGAAGGTGTTAGATTGCTTCAGGTCTCCAAGACAGATGTTATAGAGAAGTAAATGTGTCTTTTTAGTAGTTAAAGAATGCAAGACAATGTATATTGATTAATTTATTAAACTTTATCTAGAAAATTGTTGAATTGATTTTTAAAAATCACTTTTCTTCCGGAATGCCTATTTTGCATTATGAAGACTTTTGAGCACTAGCTATTTGTATACATTAGGTACAAATTGTTTATGGAATGTGTTCTCTTTGCTCTAAAGCAATCTCAAATATTTTAATGAGCTTGCAACTTTCTCTATTGATGCGTCATCTTATACAGTGCTCAGTGCCTTGTCCCTATGCCTTTGACTCACAAGAAGTTGTGTTGTTGTTAGCTGTTGATTTGATGTGATGCGACATCACAAGTGTAAACTTGTTTTAGAGAAATTATCAGTCTAACAAGAACCACAGAGTTTAACAGCAAAAGAGAATTAACCAAGTAAGAATGAGATGATGGACTTGATAGCTAAGTAAAAAATATATTTGTTGATTTATTCCTCTCAAATTTAGGCCTATGGTACATGTATAACAATTTTTGTTCTTTTACTTAAAAAATATTGCATATTACACATGAGTGTAGGTGTATATATACACACATACATATATATGCATATAATTGCCACTAGAGTGAGAGATACAGTACAATTATATAGTATTTGAGTCTTTAGTTCCAACTTATAGTTTAGTTCCCCCATAAATAGTGTATTTTAATCAAACATGTGAGAAGAAACTTTATCACAAGATTTTTTTTAAGTAGTGTTTCATTATCTTATCTAATGCTGGTAAATTTTTATGGCATTGCAAATATTAAATATATGGTAGATGGTATTAACTCCTGATCAGTATTAAGCATTTAGACTGGGAATTATGCACTTTATAAAACTGAGACAGTTACCTCAGTATTGACAGTACGGATTAGTCATCCACTGGGTAGATTCTATACATGTTTGGGTAATTCGAAATGATCTTATTACTGAAAGATGATTTCATATATGGAGGATATATACTATGCTTGAGAAAAGCAGTCAGGGTTACCATGAAATAAAGCACAGATGTAGTATCTTTGGCTTGTTAAATGAAACTCTGTATGATGCAGTGTTGTACATTACACACAGCTATTATTACTTCCTTCCTGGGTGCTGATAAAAATAAGGAAATTAGTTTCTTGGATATAAGCTTTAATTTTCATGGCTTAACAGCATTTATAGAACTAGACTGTAAGATAAAGACAAATTTAACTCATAAAGTTACCTGTAACTGCAATTTTAAAGCCAACCAACTCAAGTGTTGGATTTATAGAGTGTATAGAAAAACTAGAAAGGGAAGAAATCATATTTAAAATAAGTAAATAACTCCTATGATTGGTCGATATTTTCCTTTTCTATTTTGTTGACAAATACTTTATAGTCACTTTTCAATTTCCTACTGAGAAGTTTCTTGTGGTTTTGCAGATTTTAAAATGAAATACAGGTGTCCCTCACTTTCCTGGAAGCATGCTAACCAAAATCAGGAACCAAATCAATTCAGATAGATTTGTCTCAGCTAATTAAGCACATTGGTTATTATTATGGAAGGGATGAATTTAAGAGCACATGACCATCAAATATAAGTTGATGTTTACCAGCATGGCAGGCGTTTTTATCCTCCAATCAAACCCACAGATATTTTTTTCAGAAATATTCCTGGGAACATTTGAGACTTAATATGAAATAAAATTTTAAGTGCCAAAGTCAAAAACTAAATAACACTTCAAATGTCCTCTGTCATCCTTGCCTTTATCATTTTTTTCTTTGCACACAAGAGGCAGAATTCACTTCAAAACATTTATTTCAAAGGAATTCATAAGGATGGAGCATGTTACTTAAATGGACTGCTGTCTTTTTTTTGTTGCATCCCATCACTCCTCCTGGTGTTAGCATTCTTCTTTTCACCAAGCCATTAAGCAAGTTATCAAAAAGAAGAAGAGAAGGATGAAAAAGCAGAGACGGGGAGGGGAGGGAAGAGAAAAGACAGTTCAGAGGAGGCTTGGTTTATCTGTCGGTGGTAAAAGGCATGTCTATTTCCCAAGCCATCAGGTGAGAGGAAAGCTAAAGAAATTTCAAGCTGACAACTATTATGTGCCAAAAGTAAAACTTTGATTCCAAAGTGATTTTTGTAGTGTCAGGTGCCATGGGTAGCCATGGATCTCTGTTGATTGACTCCAGTTAGGGGCAAGGTATTTGTAGTGCTCATTCAAAAAGGGAACCTTTTGATTTGAAAGAACATCTCTCATATATTTTTTAATTGGTACTGGTTATTATATAATCGAAGAATGTTGTTAAATAAAATAGCATTGCAAGAAGTACCATTGGTCAGGCTTAGAAGTCTGCCACAATGAATTACTATAACTGTTGTGTTATTCTTTTTCTAGACAGATTTTGACTCTTCTACTTTTAGGTGTAATAATTCAAGTATGTCAGTTATTCCAGCATTATGTAAAAATTAATGAGAATGTTAAAAAGAATAAGATGGTTAAATTTGTGTGAGATACCTGCTTTCATCTCCCCAAAATGTATGACTAGATATCTGTCTCCTACGCGTGAGATTATGTGCCCTGTTGTTAACCTAGAACATAAGTGCTCATAAGTGCTCCTTTTTCTCTTATATCTTTCTTCCATTTTTTTTTTTTTCCTTTTTTTGTCTTTTTTACTGACCGGTAACGGGATCGCAGCCCTCTGTGTCACGCCCATACGGGGGACCAGCAATGGGATCGCAACCCTCGGTGTTGCGCCCGCACCGCGCTCAGCCAGTGAGCGGGAACCGGTCTCCACATGGGATCCGAACCCTCGGCGGGAGCCCAAGCGGCACACTCTCCAGTGCGCCACTGGGCCAGCCCTTTTTTTCTTTTTTTAGGAAGGGGGATGTGCAGATATGCAGGGATAGTTGTCTTAAGTAACATGTACATAGATCTCAAGAAATTCAGATTCACACAGTGAATAAAGTAATACCTAATTTTAAACTACATTTTGACATAAACTCAATTTATTATTAAAATGATTAAATGTTTATATAATTTTCCTGACTTTGAGTACTCCTAAGAGGGGTTTTTAAGCCAAGTTTTGTTATTCAGAAACATTAAAATGTATATATATATATAAAGTGTTTAGCTCATAAAATTACATGATTGGCACATTGAGAGATGCAGATTCCTGTAAGTAAGAAGCTAGATGGTCCAGAAAAATTGGAGGTGGCTGTTTTTATTATTTTGTCTGTTTATTTTTCTTCTACTTTGGAAGATGATATGGGAGAGCAGAAAGGCCCAAGAAGAAAAACAGTATGTTGAAATAGCTTCCAATTTTTTTTCTGGTCCAGTCTTTCCCAGAAACATGTCAACAGTCGCCTTCACCAGAATTACCTGGGCTGCTAGTTAGGAACACACATCACTAGTTTCTATCCAGATCTCTAAAAACAGAGTTTGTGGAAGAGAAATTTTTAAAAATCTCCAGGGTTACTTTTGGAGGGGGATAAGACTGATGAGAATTTCATAAAATGCTAAATTTTCTAGCCTAAAGCATTTTTGTAAGTGACTCTGAAGCATTATCATTCCAACCCATTAGGAAAGTATGTCGAGGCATGTAGAGTCAGCATTTCCAGATTTAATCCTGTGGTATGCAGAAGTAATTGAAATCTCATAGCCTAAGAGACCTAGATCTTTAGTTTCTACTCATTAAAAAAAAAAGAAAGAAAGAAAAAGGATTAAATTAAGTATATTTGCTTTTACCAATATATTTAAGAACATAAAACTTCAGGCTGGCCAGAAATTAAGGTGAATACATTAATACCTTCTAACTATTTGATAGAACAGATTACCAGACAGGATTTAATCAGGAACTTCTATGAATATTATGGAATAAGGGATTCATTACAGAAAATAGGTCTTTTGGAATTGTGGAAGGAACTGGGAGTAATGGTCTGGAAGGAAGATTTGGAGAGTCAGAGAAAAGGCACCATTGGATCTCCTGAAAATTGCCATGGGTAGACAAATTGGAGCTTAGAGGGATATCCAGGTGCTGAAGTGAGTCTGGTAAGGAAAACTAGTGAAGAAGTCTATGGAAAGCTGTTACTTCTGTGTAGCTATTACTTCTATGAATCTGCAGCCAAGCTTCATTCATGGGCATGGGGCCCACTACTGGACATGGAGTGGAAAGGGGCAAGGACAAGCTAGAGCCCACTGGATGCCTTCTTGAGTGTTCTTTACCATATCCATCCTCAAAGACCTTCAGAAAGAAATGGCCACCACTTAACTTGGGTTGGCCTCTTGCAAATCTGAGCTGACACTATATAAGGAAAATGTAGGTCCAGCTTCACTAAGTCAACATGGTACAAACTACAATATAGAATGAAAAAAAAAAAAAAAGAGTCTATTGACCATTTAAACATGATTGACCAAAGAGACTTAATTTGCCTTCATAAAACATTGTACTTAATAACCGAAGACTAGGAATTTCTTTTCAAGCTCATCCTAAACGTTTACAAATTTCCAATCAGGTACCAGGCCACAAACCAAAACAAAAAACAGCAAATACCAAAAGACTGATAAAAATCAACCTGGTAATTTTCTCTGTCCACAATAAAATGAAGTTTGAGAAAATAATAAAAAGATAACTAGAAAAATTATGTAACAAATTTTAAAAACTTATGGATCAAAAAAGTAATCAAAAGAGAATTTAGAAGGTAGTTTTAATGACATGGTACTAAAAATACTGCATAGCTCAAATTTTGTGGGACACACTAAGTCCATCTTATGGGTGGTTTTTAGGGGAAATGTATGGGGGGGTACATAGAAAAGTTTGTGGAAAAATAGAAATATGAACCTTTCTATGAACTTTTTGTAGTACCCTCATATAGTCTTTAATTAGGCTATTAAAAAAAAAGTCAAGAAAACCACTAAACATCTAAAGAAGTGGGAAACAGCAGTATAAGCAAAAAGAAAGAAAGGAAGAAAAAACTAAGAGGAGAAATTAATCAAAAGTCTACAGAAAACGTTATGCTTACTGAGATATTAAACTTATCCCCTTCATAATCAGCAACAAGAAATCACACTTCCACCAATAACAGCCTGTGTTTTGTTCAGACTATTTTAACACCAAGAACCATTAGGAAAATAGGGTAAAATGTTAAAAAAAAAATTAAACTATCATAAAATTACAGGACAAAGAAGCATTGTAGAACCAATAACTAGGAGAGAAGGGAAAAACAGAAGTAAGCCTGTTTTTGTGGCAATTTTTTCTCACTGAGGAAACTGAAGAAACAAAAAGAATAGCTGAACAGAAAAGAAGTTCAGCTGAGCTTTCGACAGACTTTGGGCTTGCTGAAAATATTTAAGTTTAGGATTCACCAAGGATAAGAAGCCCTGATAAAGTCCCAGATCTTTCTGTTGAACTTTAAATACAAGAACAGAGGAAGGTAGAAAGTAGCAAAAAGGAAAAAAGATATTCCTTGGAAACAATAAAATAAAATAGATCTATACTCATATTAGGCTATGTAGATTGTGAGGCAAGATGTTATACTAGAGTTTGAGATACTTC